CTATACTCCGTCTGTTTAGGTAGTTAACTATTTGTAAACAAACCATAAAAAGAGTTCTTTATAGTTGACATTTCCATGATTCAAAATACTTCATAAGAAAATAAAATTGTTTCCATTTTTACGACAGTTTTCTCTATTAAATGTTATGTTTCTGTTCCTTTTCACTTATTTCTTAGTAAATATTATATATATCTGCTTGAGCATAATAATTTTATAACATTTATTAAATAATATAATATTTCATTACAATAGACACCATAAAGAGCCTAAAATCCCAGGTATCCAAAACCTTTCTTTATGAACGAAGCATTAGATAATGTTGTCAAATTAAAGAGTACAACTAAGATGTAGCGCGACAATGAAAGTAGCGTGTATTACGTTTAGTCGGTTAATCAGGCGCCATTGACAGCTCTCTCGTCGTTTGCGCTCGCGTTCCTATTTTGTTGAATTTATCTTGTTTCTTTGTTTTGTTTTTGTTATTAAGTTATTTAAGTTTAGGTTATTCATCGTTTGTAATTAATGTGTTCAAATATATTGAAGAAACTTGGTCCAAAGACACATATCCGTACAAGAAAGAAATCCGTACATCAGATTCAGAATAGTTTCCATTTAAACATGATAATGAAATAGACCCCTAGGCTAGGCTCTTGTACGATTTAGGCATTTGTGCTTGTATATGTGTGTGTGACAAATGAACGATTTTAAAGGAAATTTAGTTTAAATTAAAACACGAGAAATATTTGAAGTAATAGAAGGTTAAGTATCTCTGTGTCACGTGGTTTTGTTTGTTTACCTTTATTTAATTACCTAAACAGATGGACTATAATATAATATAACGTTTAACGTTATATAAATGTAATATAACGTATAATATAAAGTTGTGGTGATATTATAATGATAATAGCTTACTAGCTATGTTTACTATAGAATATAGGCCTTCCTCTGTCCTCAACGAGTTCGTCAGTTCACTAGTTTTACATGCCATTATCTCGCTCACTGCAACCTCAGATTAGTATTTTTAAAGAGTCCAATCTATCTGAAAGAATCGTAACATAATATCCTAATTGTAAAACGTGCACGCACATGATAAACCTGAAGTGTGGAGTTACCGAGTCACATAGGAAAGCAATCAAGGGTCTTACTCTTGAATCTAATTCCCATCGATCGACATTCGTATTGTGATATTTCGTACGATCTTGAGTTGCAACCCTTGCGCCCAATTCATCCGAATTATGTGGATATTTAATGAACTAAATATTATTGAGTTTAGCTTTTTATTCCATACCCTGATTTTTAACAACTACGATAGGGGTTGTATAATTTTGACATTGAATAATTATTGAGATTTTATTGGATGGAAATTGCATTGACATTGAGATTGGTTTCAATAGTAAGCACCCTGGTTGGGCGTTTGAAGCATCCTGTTTCAATCTGATTAAAGCATTCTTGGGTTTTAATTTTCTAATGATATAATTATTCAGATTTGTTAGCTGTCAGGCTTTATAAAAATCTACCAAACTGGTCACGTCGGCAATATTATGGCAATATTAATCGTTTTTCATATGTTATCTGTGCACAAAAAATAATGTATAAGCTGCCTAAATAGAGAAGTACGGAAGGACAATAACCCTTCTCGTTCTATCTTGTGCCAAGTTCATACGCGACGACAGTTTTGCACAATATATAGTGTAAACTCTTTAATATATTCGGATTGTTAATACTGATAACGCAAACAATGTTTCAAAATATTATTGATGTTTAATTATTTCAAGAGATTATTAACCTTTTATCCGTAAATTTCCGTTTACCGCACTTTAAACAATGTCGGATGCCTCAAATCAGCAAATACCAGGTTTGAAACAGAAGAAAGTGTTTAAAATTATAGTGTTAGGTGATTCAGGTGTTGGCAAAACGTGTCTAACTTATCGGTTTTGCGAAGGACAATTTTTAGATAAATCTGAGGCCACGATCGGTGTTGATTTCAGAGAAAGAAATATAAAAATTGGTGGGGAAGATATAAAGGTAAATATTAGTAATATTTTATCGTATGCTTGACGTGCGAATTTTACTTTGCGCTCGTTATTAATTTAGTTCTGCTTCATACCGTTATTTTTAACCCGAACTTTAAAGCTTTACAGCACACTAATTTATCATGTTTCTTACAATAGAACATAGCAGGAAAGTCTGATTAAACTTACGTTGAATCGCAGATCATACAGTTTCGATTCTTATCCACGTCAGTCTGCTGGGGTCTAGGGGCATATGTTTCAATATTACTATTGAGTACAGGCTAGGCAAGTCTTACCCACAATCTCTCCTTATCCCGATATGTTATTTTTCTTCTTTTTAAATCATTTCTTATTTTCGCCCAGATCAAACTGGTTTTACGACATACAAGGTAACCATAAGAAAGTTACTTTCTTGAAGTATTATCTATTAAAAGTAATAAGTTAGCAAAGCAATTCAATATTATAGATCAACAATCTTCAATTCAGACAACATTGAAGTCAAATTAATTTTGACAATACCCCAATAAAATTATTGAACTTAAATATTAATTTAATGAAACTAGCAAGTGCTCAATAAATAAACATCTGGTACAAATATTAGATAAGTCTTTTACAGATAAAAATATGTTACATGTTATCTGTGTCACAGTTTCATTTCATACACTTTTGCTTTAAAAGGAATCTACCTTCTATTGAATATTATCATAGTCAGTGAAATTGGATTAGATAAATCAGCAACCTCCACCTTTAATTTTTATGATACTACAGAAGAACAAAAGTAAACAAAGACTTCTGCTAAGTGTGTTCTTGCCTGGTATAATAATATGGCAATAGGGTCACCCCCTATTACATGGAACTCATAACATAAATAGTGAAAAAATAGGTGTTACATTGTACAGTGGCTTGAACTGTGAAACACCGAGTGGTCACTGGTGACCGCAACCTATTGTTCTATAATTGTGTCGTAATGACGGTACTCAACGAGTTAAACTGTCAAACACCAAGCGGTCACCGGTGACCGCAACCTATTGTTCTATAATTGTGTCTACAAAACCGGTACTCAACGAGTTAAGTGCTATGTGCACCACTGCCTACCCCGGGTATAAAAGGCGTGATGATGATGATACTTTTGCTGAGTAATACAAAGTAAATAAAATAAAATTAACACATTTTTACATGCTTTATACCTACAGCTTACATCTTATAAACCATTTGCATAATTCCACCCAGCGTGCCTTCTCTTGCTATCTCGCGATTCAATGACCTTGTTGACCAAGGATGTTTCCCCATATTTCTTATTCTGTGCCCATGGGGAAGGGGGAGCCTTCAGTTTCGTTCATTTAACTTTATATCCCGGTGCAATTTGAGACACAATAGAAAACAAATGAGTGTAACATAGATTATGATCCCACATACCATAGGTTAACTCGTCGAGTACCGGTTTTGCAGACACAATTATAGAACAATAGGTTGCGGTCACCGGTGACCGCTTGGTGTTTGACAGTTTAATAGTTCAGAACATTTTGCTACACTGGTTCTGAGCCTATGACTTACATTGGTTAAGTAGTCAATAGCCTAGCTATGAGTGTTCCCTTAAAAAACCAAAAAACCAAAAAAACCATTTGTTTAACTACCTATGTTAAGAAATAATTTATCACATTATAGTTAAATTTTACTGTAATTTCAGCTCCAGCTATGGGACACGGCAGGACAGGAGCGGTTCCGCAAGTCCATGGTGCAGCATTACTACAGGAATGTACACGCTGTAGTCATTGTTTATGATGTCACCAAACCTGAGACTTTTCATGTGAGAAGTTTTATAATAATATTTGGAACATGAATTTGGTATGATTACCTAATTACCTAAAAGCAGTCTAACACACACCCACTTGTTCTGCTGACCACTTTAACAAATCAGATTGTATGTCGCCGCACTCTCGAGTGATGCACAAATTATTTTTCAGTATCTGAATGTATAGTGTATGTGAATGTGAAGAAAATCGTGGATATAAACTAATATTAATCTTTATTTTATGTAATTCCAGTCAATAGCAAGTTGGATGCAAGAGGTGGAGTCCCACGGTCTAATGCGTGCTCCGAGAGTACTGGTGGGCAACAAGTGCGACTGTGGCACGCCAGAGTCCCGGCTAGCCACTACATACGCACAACGACTCGCTGACAAGTATGGAATGCCTGTAAGTTGGTCCCTTATTGTAATGTTGTATTGATTTAACCGACTTTAAAATTAAAGACGTTATTATAAGTGGAAGCTTGCAGTTTCGATAAGATTGTGCTGAACAAAATCTCAGGCCAGCCTGAGATTTTGTTCAGCAAGTTTTGCTTGTTTTCGTTACAATTAACTAACTATAGTTCCACTGGTCGATCTATTCACGCGTGGTGCGATGACCAAGGCCAAGATTCATTTTTTATATCAGAGGACAACTGGGGCAATTGAGATTATTTTTATGTGAAGGGCAATAGGCATGATGATAGGGTATGAGAATTAAAAATATTAAAATATTACACACGTTTTTTTTTGTTTATAAGAAAATAATACTTAGATACAACGAAATTAAAGTTTAGGAGTGGGAGGTAGCTACGTCATTTTAGAGTATAAATCGTACTCAAAAGTGACGTCATGCGATATTTTAAATTAATATATCTTCGAAACTATTCGTTTCCGTAATAAAATAAAAAATACGTGTTTGATGCTTTTAAATAATCTACCAGACTGCCATTAAAATAAAAATTAGTCATCTACCCTATTATGTAAAAGTGTTCAACAATTCTCAAACACAACAAAATAGACGATATAGGAGTATTTTACTCAGTTTACCGAGCTCTGTTCATTGAGACAATGAAGCATTAAAAGCAATCTACCAGTATTATCTGTCAGTGATTCATTAAGGTTGTCTGGTGAACTTAGTTCAGACTAATTAGTCATTTTAATCAGATAGATATGTTAATTATATTGTAGAAAACATGTAATTCATTTGTGTATTTGTCATATAGTAAACAAATAACATATTTATTCCCCTTAAAAGGCGAACTGATTGTAAGGGGCAGGGCAAGTTTTCGCAAGTTGTTTTATCTGCGCCATGTAGGTGGCGGGAGTATCGCAAATTAGATTCAGCTGTTTTTCCGTAGGCCTTTTCTAAGATGGGATAGAGTTTCAAGCAGATTCCGCTATCAGTACATGTTTTTGTTATGTGATTAGCCAATGCCTCTTGAATTTTTTGTAATATTTGTATTTTTTTTAAATTTCCAGTTATTTGAAACGTCAGCGCTACTGGACTCGGAGTGTGACAATGTGGAGTCCATATTTATGACGCTGGCACACAAACTATACTCCAAACAGCCGCTGAGAGTTGTCAGTGTTGAGGTAAGACGTATATCTTATGTCACAGAAACTACCACGATAATACTTTCTTCTTTTATGACACAGGTTTACAAAGGATAACAAAAACTATGAATGAATAATGAAAGCTTGACTTTTTACCATGTAATAGCAATAAGAGATAAAATCATACAAATATTATATGTATAAGTAAAAGTTTTTTTTTTTGGATATTTGTCCGCCAATTACGTTGAAATTACTGAACGAACAGATTTTGATGAAATTTGGTATACACGCAGGGTATGGGCTGACTAGGTGACAGGATATTTGTATCCTGATTTAATGCTCTCTTGGGATAAAAAAAGAATACGCGGACAAAGCCGCGGGTAAAAGCTAGTATTCACTTATAATCTCAACGCTATCCTACTAATCGTACCTGTCCACCACCCGAGCGTACGGCGAGTCGCGTTCCACGCGCTCTTCATAGCCATCAGACCACCACGGATAGGGCCCAATAAGGCTGATGCCGATACGAAGCCGCGGAGGACTTAACAGGTTGCCGGGGCTCAGGCTCGAAGTGCTGGAGTAGGAACGGGGTGGATTTTAGTCAGGGAGAAGTCAATCGATGATTTTTCCTCCTTTAAAAATCCTACTAATGTCAATTTCAGTAACATCAATTTTTTTTTTCACACAATGAATTTATTGAAATCGTTTTACAGGGAGAACACGGTCCAGGCGTAGTAAATCTACAAAGGCAGAAGCGAGCGACGAGTTCCAACGACGGTTGTCTATGCAGCTAGACAAAACTCCCAGTAATAACTACGTAATGTACTATTCCGTCTGACATCCATGACCAATGTTGCCACTCTAAAATATTATCCGTAGTATTGCCAGCGTTAAATAATATCTGTCATGTTGAAAGATTTTAAAGTTTAAAAAGACCTTTTGCTAATTTTTGAAGGGATTGGCAGATTACTGTAATATTTTTATTAATTTATTATACATAGATATGTTATTAGTTAATTTCCTACATTGGAATCATTCCCAGATACCGCGCAACTACTGTTAATTTTATTCAACTCAAGAAAACCTTCGTGGGTCGCAAGATTTTTATTTTACGGGTTAGTTGTTTATTTTTTTTACATAAACTTAACACAATATCAGGCTTTTTATCCCCGAAATGGTAGACAGAGGCTAACGGCTTTTTAAAACCCCAGTATTGTTTTTCCCGACCCGGGAATTGAACCCGAGACCTCTTGCCTTGGCAGTGGCACTTGCGACCACTCGGCCAAAGAAGCAGTTACTATTTTATTTACTTTTAAAAATAAATAATCCTTTTTGTTTAAAAAGAGCTCTGGGCTTTTGGCCCTTTATTTAATTCGACATTCCCTCTATCGAAAAAGCTCTCTAAAAACGTATTAAATTCAGTGTGCACGATTAATTTCATTTTATTTAGTTTAGTACAAATATTTGTTTTAGTAATTGACTAGCTACTTCCGCGCGGTTTCACACGCTCTGCTCAGCTCCTATTGGTCGTAGCGTGATGTTTTATAGCCTATAGCCATCCTCGATAAATTCGCTATCCAACACAAAAAGAATTATTCAAATCAGACTTGTAGTTACGGAGATTAGCGCGTTCAAACAAACAAACAAAAAACAAACTCTTCCGCTTTATATAATAGTATAAGATAAGATCCTAATGTGGCAGCCAGTCGTCTCTATTTTAGTTACAAATCTTTATTACACCGTTTTATTCCGACTCAAACAATCGGAATAGTCTAATGATGTAATACTATTGTTGACTGACATTGTTATTTATTTATTTCGTAAAAAAATTACTACCGATCATTAGAAAAATAGGAATGAAAAATACATATATACCTAATAATTAAACTCCAGTTCCATAAATGTAAGTTCTGTATCTAGTAACATTGAACAAGGTATTTAATAATATAACCCTTTAATTGGCAGAACAATCAAAACAATAAAATTGAAGTTTTAACAACGTGATTCGATTTCTAGCACTTCTTGGACATAGTAAAAAATAGAAATAAAATTCTGAACCTTTCAGGTTTCTGAAAACGATATGTGAAGTATACTGGACACTACCAAATACTTAGCAATGAACAGACTGAAATGTATGTAAGATAAATAATTATAATAATGGAAAAATAAATGAAAAATTGATTTTAAGTATTAATTAATATGTTTATTTTTTATGAAAATTTAAAAAACAATTTCTTTTTCCGGCGACAAAACATAGTCTTTGGTTACATTTAATACATATAACATTTGTTTTACCATCCTTACAGTAGCGGCATCTCCCATAACTACATGAATCGGGAAAATGGCCTACTTGATCATAGCGAATTTCTTCAATTGGTCTCGCTACTACAGGTTTCTTAATTTTTCTTTCTTCTTTTATATCTTCTGTAAAATCACTCCGTTCCTTAACTGGTTTTCCTTTTTTCAGAAGACTTTCATATATATCTATCCTGAACTCTTTCAACGATTTTTCCTTATTTTTATTTTGCCGATACAAAAGCCATGCATTATTGATGCATATATCAATCAACTGGGCAAAAATGGAAAGATACCATCGTCGTGTCTTTAGAGGAATCTTGTATAGGGATATTAGCATATCAGCCAAATCGACCCCACCCATGTTTTTATTATAGTTTTTGACTATCTTAGGACAGTCAACATCAACCTTTGCTTTATGTTCTTTGCTATAACGTTTTATTTTATCCACGGGGTGAGAATCGACACAGGAACTAATAAGTGTAACACATTTATTGTCTAACCATTTCACCACTGCCAGTTTATTTTGGTTACAAACTCCTTGCGCGAAACTGCCTCGTGGTTTCTTTTTAAGGTCTTTGTCAGAAGGAAGTACACTCTCGCAACCTCTTAGCCGGTTTCCTCTTATAGTACCAGTGCAAAATATTCCGTAATTTTCACGCAACATGTATACGAGCTCAGGTGAAGTAAAAAAATTATCACAGTATACATTGGCAGGTTTCTGGCGAATTGTTTTACACAAAGCAAGAACAACTAGCCCTCCTAAACCTATAGAAATCTCATCCTGTGTGAAAGTATAATTTCTAAATGTGTCCTCCCCTCCATATAAAATAAAGTCATAGATTAAGCCTGAAGCTCCCGCGCGAACGAAGTTTTTAAACCCCCACTTATTTGGTTTATTTTGAATATATTGTCTTCTATTTCCCGCCTTGGTCCCTTTATAGGGAATCATCATCTCATCTATACTGAAATTTTGTTCCTCGTGTATCTTCAGGCAGTTTTGCCTAATTTTTTCCACTACTGGCCGAACTTTGAAGTATCTATCACCGTCGTCCAAATTATTATCGATAAAATGTATGTAACGTCTAATTGTTTGATATCGCTTTAGTGGCATGAGATCGGCGATATTTGTAAATCTAAGTCTGCGGCTCCAATAATCAGTGTAGCTAGGCATTTGTACCACACCCATCAAAATTTGTATTGCAATAAAAGTTAGAAACTCTTCATGAGTTAGTTGTATGGATCTTCCTTTTACCTGAACAGAGTACAGATTCGATTGATCTACTATGTCTTTTATTATATTTGGTGAAAAAAAACGATAAAAGAACGAAAGAGGTTGTTGTTCGTCTTCACTCGGCATCAGCGGCGTAATTTCATCAATCTCAGCCCGATGAAAAAATAAATCCTTCTTCCACTTATAACTCAAAACAAATTTCTTAGTCGATTTGACTTTTTTTGAAATCACTTTCTTTTTCTGCGCTTTTTTACGTTTTCTAGTGGAACATGTATCAATGGATGGTTGGCCAATTTGCACTGAACCAAGTGATGGTAAAGAACTTATAGAAGGGATGGCATCGTAATTTGGTTCATTTTGTGATGGAAAAACATTTTGTAAAATTGGTGTGAGTGGAATTGAATTGTTATCTGTATTTTCATCTTCGGAAGATTCTAAAATATTCAAAGCTTCTAAGGCGGAATCGACTGAGATTAAGCTGCTATCATCGGAAGAATCATGGTTATTCAAAGTTTTATTTGTAAGTTCAATTTCTTCGGTAGACGAAGCGTCACTGGAATCGGAGCATGCATGTTCAGGCGGTATCAAAGCAACTAGTCTATGCGTGCGGGAGCGTATCAATCGCTAAAACAAAAGGAAAAAGCTCATTTGATACATGCAACCATCACCAAACCAAAATACTAATTAGTTGGCATTGTCCAACCCACTTCCCAAACAAAAACAGTGATAGCATTGTGAGCAATTGGCAGTGTGAAGTATACTGGACAACTAGTTTTAAGTGCAATTTACAACGTTATTGATGCAGTACTGAGTTATTATTTGATACCATATAATAAACCGTCACTTTGAAATTATATATAATGCATAGCGAACCCATGTAAACCTTTCTATATATGAAAAAACATTGAAAAACTTACCTGTGTTGCATTAACCGACCGTTGCTTCGACATCGTTTTGATTTTTGACATATTTAGATGTTGCCAGGTATCTAATTTATTTTTCTACCAAATGCTTACGATATTGTGGAGTTATCAGAATAAAAAAATTGTTGGTATAATCAGTATACTCGCTTACAAATTTACTTTTTATTGGTGTCCAGCCGGCTACACTCTGTCAATTTAGGGGTTAACATTGAAACAAATAAGGACCTAATAAAAAGATGGCATCTATTTTTTCCTGTAAATACATTTAAACTGCAATTTTATTATACTACTCTGTCAAGAAAGTACCGGGAAACGATCAATAATACACAAAATGTCTGTTATTCATCCAAATATATTTTATCACCTTCAAAGTATGCTCCTTTAGAAACGATACACTTGCGCCAACGAATAATCCATTCATCAAAACATTTTTTAAACGCTGCTTTCGGAATCGAGTTCAGTTCTCGCCGCGAATTCTCCTTTATGTCTTCTATCGATTGAAAACGGGTGCCACGAAGTGGTAATTTGAGTTTAGGAAAAAGAAAAAATTCAGCAGAAGCCCTATCTGGTGAATATGGTGGTTGCTGGATGGTATTTGTTGAGTGTTTGGTCAAAAATTCGTTCACAATGATTGCCTTGTGCGAAGGCGCATTGTCGTGGTGCAAAATCCAAGAATTTTCTTTCCACAAATCTGGCCTTTTTCGTCGAATTTGCTCTCTTAAACGCCGCATAACGCTCAAATAATATTCTTTATTTACCGTTAGACCTTCCGGTAAGAATTCAGACTGCACAACATCGCGATAGTCAAAGAAAACAGTCAACATGACTTTGACTTTTGATCGACTTTGGCGTGGTTTTTTCGGTTTCGATTCAGTTGGAAGGCGCCACTCCAAAGCTTGTTGACTAGTTTGCATGTTAAACTCGTAAACCCACGTCTCGTCACCAGTAACAATGCGTTTCATGAATGTTGGGTCCGAACTGACTCGTTCTAGCATGTCCTCAGCGACTTTCATGCGATTGAGTTTTTGGAGAAAATTGAGATCTGTTGGGATTAGCCGAGCAGCAACATGTTTTATACCCAAATTATTGATTAAAATGGTACGAATCGACTCGTGATATACAGAAAGTTCGGCGGCTATCTCTCTCAGATTTGAATGGGGATTTTCAGTCACTATGTCGATGTTAACTTCAGTTGCAGACGTTGACGGCCTACCAGAGCGAGGCAAATCTTCCATCACATCTCGACCGCTTTGAACGCTTTGAACCACTCATAAGCATTAGTTTTTGATAAAGTCGATTCATCGTAAGCCTTAGCACCGTAACATTTTCAGTGACTCCAAACACGAAATTTGGCGATGCAAAATTCAAGACAAACTCTGGTCGATATTTTTGTCCATTATGAAATTCGCAATACACACTATATATGATATTACTAAAACCAGCACTGTATTTAATATAAATAACAGATACAACTCAAATTCCGCGCCAAAATGGAAAACAGTAGTGCCAATCTAACAACTACAAAAAAACAAAAAATTGAATTTGGTACCATAAAGAAATCATCCATTCCCGATAATTTTTTGACTTCCAAGCATTTTTTTTTTCGCATTTAAATTATTTTTGTCGCATCTTAACAAAAATATTTAGTATGTACCTACTTCATTATTCCACATTAACAAATGATTGTGCCAACATGGTAACTTATTGCAATAAAATATTTAAGAATTAAACTTATATGGGGTAAAGTCATGTTCTAAGTATGTTTAAATATTAAACATTTATTATTAATAGATTATTTACCAGTATTGTATCTTCCATATTTTTTCTAAAATAAATATTCAATATTTTTATCTGTATATTATTAAAATTACTTATTTATTAAATATCGCACATATTTTTAGGACACTTTTAAGGCCAGGTTACTCCAAATTAATTTATTTTGTGTTTAATGTGCTAAAAGACTTAGTTCGTAAAAGAAAACTAAAAATGACAATTTAAAGAGATCATCAAAAAATTCGTACGCACCGAAAGTAAAAGTAAAAATAGGAATAGTACCCAGAATATTTTTGATGCTCTCTGTAAATAGTCTTTTTTAGTTTTCTTTAATTTATTGTTTTCCATTAGTTTTAGTATCTACGTTGTACATGTTTTATTCCTTTCCTTATATTGTAAATACTTAACTAATAAAAATCTCTATTACGAAAAAAAAAACACACAGTTCGTACACAATAATAAAAGTCGTTATGTTGCAATATTCCATAGTTGATTTTAGTATTAATTTATTGATATTTATAAACATTGATATAAGATATCTTCTATGTTTTTTCGACCGAATTTAACATAAAATTCTCACTTAGAATAGCCTGGCCTTAACATTTCCAAATTAAGCATATGTCTTACAAGTTAGTGCGTTTTCTTATACATAAATAATGTAAAAAATAAATGAACAATGTATTTCAGGCCTTATGGATAACGGCGAAGATCTGTTCAAATGTGAGAATATGCCAAAATAACGTTAAATACAAGAATTTTAATGTTTGTGTGAAACAATCATATAATTGTGTAATATTTAATTTATTTTTGTATAAGTGTAGCTCTGTAAGTATTAGACAGAAACTTGAAATCATTGAGATATTAAATAAATCGTTTTATGTTGTTATTTGGAGTTTTATTTTACTTATATTTATTCAAACCGGATTAGTAGGTAAAACCGGAGTCAAAGTCAAAGTCAAAGCATTTATTTCAATTAAACCATAGTTTGGTACTTTTGAAACGTCAACAAATACAAAATAAATAATAGTCTGTCAGTCAGTCCGTCAGTGAAGCTAGGTGAAGCTAGGTGCTCATTCCAAAACGTAGATTCGAATGGAGAAGAACGAGCAAGAAACTCCATTCGTTACTCTTTTAAAAAAGTATGTTCTACAATGTCTCTGATACATATTTCAATACTGTACTACTAAAATAAAAATAAAAATAATAAAGATCTTAAGTCCAACATGGTGCTCACATATGCATACTGACAATCCATAGAAATAGTGCTTCTATACAAGAAAAAAGGAAACTCTTTGTTTCATTAAAGAAAGAAATGCTCGATGCCATAAGGAAACTAGATTGTCTACATTAGAATTAAAGTATTAAATTATGTATTATATTACCTACTATTGGAATTTAACTACTGACTACATTTGAGTATTGTCCAGTGGAGCCGAACCAACATGCTGCCAAGCATTCTTATCTTCAAGATAATCTGTCAGTGTGTAGTAAGCTTGATTACATAATTCGCGCTTAATATATGTTTTAAATTTACTTTCATTGAGATCTAGTATGCTATTTGGTATTTTATTATAGCATTTAATACCTAACCCCATAAAGGATTTCTGTACTTTGGACAGTCTGAATTGCGGTATAGCTAACTTATTTTTGCCTCTAGTATTAAAATTGTGTCTATCGCTTCTTTTTTCAAACAATTGCCAATTGAGATAAGTTAAAGAGGGTTGAAACAATGAAATGTCAGATTTATATAATAAAAAAGTATAATATATACGATTAGGTAAATGACCTATTCTTTGATATCCTCGAAGAAGTTCACAAAGGTGCTCTTAAGCAATGTAACATTAACTCTTCACCAGTATTCAAAGAACCGTCATTTTTAAAAACAATAGTTCAATTATAAGGTGCTTGACTTGAAAGTCCCGGAATTTCACCGCATAGTTCCTGTCCCGTGAGATTGCCTTTTCAGTGCCAGGGTCTAAAAGACAAGTTGAAAAATTTCAATAAGTATTATGTTTCCTAGCCGTCTTGGAATCTTAGAAATGGAGGACCTGTGTCCACACCGTCCCTCACATCCATACAACCTCTATACTTATTATACTCTTTGACACAGATTCTCCGTTTCAATTTATTTATTTATTTCAATTAAATAGTATAACATTACAATCATAAAACCAAGGCGTTATACATTTCAAATAATGGTAAATAAATAATACATTATGGTAGTTCAACAGGTTGATCAAATTTAACTCGTCGAGTACCGGTTTTGTAGACACAATTATAGAACAATAGGTTGCGGTCACCGGTGACCGCTTGGTGTTTGACAGTTTAATGGCTAATACATCCGGAGTTCGGAGTAGGGCTGTAGACATTGTGAAAGCAATTAAAAGGATTGTCCTACTAATATTATAAACGCGAAAGTTTGTATCTTTATTTGATTGTAACTCCTTCACGTCAAAATGTCTGAAGGGATTGGGACGAAATCCTAGGGAACGCCGGGCGAATCCGCTGGCAAGAGCTAGCTTATGATATTTTTGCCTGTCATTGAATAAAGGATTTCTTATAGGTAAAGAGACCTTGTGGCTGCTCTTATTTCGAATTAGACATAACATAACATAACATCGCGCCCTTATATCTCCGAAGGGGTAGGCAGAGGTGCCCATTACGGTACTTAATGCCACTGTACAATGTAACACCCACTTTTCACCTGTAATAGAGGGTGCCCCTATTGCCATATATCGGGCATATTTCCTGACTACAGATACTTTGCCCGACCCGGGATTCGAACCCGAGACTCCTTACCCGATAGTCGGACTTGCGATCACTCTGCCAATGAGGCAGCAGTATTTCGATTGAACGCTAAAATGCTTGACTTGACCGAAATATTTTCGTTTAGATAAATAATCCTACATGGTTGAACTAGCATACCTAGAGGTATATAGAATACCTTATTAATTGAGATACTTACAAAAAATGCTGATAAACGGATGCCTCGGCATTGAATGATGAAGAATATGACTAATACAACCTTGGGGTCGGGGTCTGGATATAATACTCGGGTCTTTGCTTTATGCACGCTGCGACATAACTGGTAGGTACAGTTAAAACTGCACGGTTATATGCGTGTGTAGCCTGGATTAGAAATCATAATTCAAAGTCATACTGGTCCAGACTGTTCGGATTGTTTCAAGTTTAGCATAACAGAACGTAAAAATAAAATTCTACTGTGCAAGTTGTGCCACTGTAAAAACAATTCTAACTGTCTACAGTACTCTATTATAAAATAAAAAAAGAAGTAGTGTTCTGTGGAAAGTAGGTACTTATGGAAATCGATCACTAATTTCGCCACTACATTCAACGACTCCGTGGCGCAACGGTAGCGCGTCTGACTCCAGATCAGAAGGTTGCGTGTTCAAATCACGTCGGGGTCAAACTGTTCTTTTTGTGATATTTTCCTTTTTGTTTTTATTATACGTTTTCATTTTCAAACTAAAATTTTCTTTTTGTTTTTTTTTTCTATTGAATGACGTTAGTGGTTTACATTTTTAATGAAGACCTCTATACAAGTCGTTGGCTGTGAAAAGGTCAATTCATTTAATGAGATAGGTGGCCCCACTACCAATTGTCAAATCAAAGTACAAGGTAGATGCAACTATAAATTGCCAAAAAAGAGGAAAAGAAGTAACTACTCACTGTAGCAGTGCTATATAATTTAAATCTTTTGCTACATAGCGTAAACGGCTTAGCCTAAGTTAACTAACTAGTCTAACTTAACCGACCCGGGAATCGAACCCGAGGTTTCCTTCAATGTAGAGATGAGGTAGAAAGATTTGATATGAATCCACTGACAAACGGTGAAGAAAAACGTCATGAGCGAACCTGAACTTATAATTTTAAATTATTATTTTAATTGCTAATCTGAATGGAGCAAGCGTGGTGCTAACGTTTAAAGCTGTGTGCTCATGATGTGGGTAACATTCTATTAAAATTTCTCTTTCCAGCATTCATGGCGCTTACTCTTGAAACCAATATCGATGTCAATGCCATTTTAATCCAATAAAAGCTCAATAATTATTCAATGTCCACACACTCGAAGGGTAGGAGTAGGAACGGGGTGGTTTTTGGTCAGTAAGACTGACACTCCCTCCCGCCGCCCTCAGACCGTTGCAAGGGTTTGACTGTCAACTGTGCATATCCTTGCACTCTTACCGATGCGCCTTCCAGGGTTCCAAGTAATAAAAACAACAAAGAAATTCTTCTGAAGGACTTATATTAATTTAAGAGGACATAGTATTAAGGTACAACCGTTGTAACTAGCGATATAAGTTTCTATATATTATTCAAATTGTATTGTAATCAATTAGTGAGTTCACTCAACGACATGACATTAAAAAAATGTTGAAATAAATAGAAGTCTGTTTTTAAATCTAATCGCAAAAATTAACAAAGGTGTTATATTTTAAGTAAATGGTGAATAATATCAGAATTTTAACACTAATATAGGTTAGTAACTTCCTAAAATATATACGCCCAAATACTGTAAAGCTACTCAATTTTAAATTGTACTTAAATATCGTGCCGTCTCTATCATTTTCGAAAGAATTTGTAGAGACAGAATTATGCTTAAGCGCGACTTCAAATTGAGTAGCATTTGAGTATTTGGACAATAGCTGCTTTATTCATAGGTAATTGATTTCGTATGTCGTTGCCCAGGGCTGTCCAAACAAAGGCCCGCAGCTTGTTTTCATGTGGCCCCCGACACACATTTTAATCTCAACATGTTCATCTTATGTACAACAACAATAATAAAATTCAGTGTATGATTTGTACACAAGTTTAGTCTGTGAGTAAAGATTACAATGTTAAATAAGTATCATTGTACAACTGAAAACATTTCTCTGGCCCTCCAGCTTTTGTCAGAAATTAAATTAGCCCTCGAGGGTATATAGTTTGGACAGCCCTGGCATTGCCTAAAGAAATGTAACACACTTTTATTATAACAAAACTTCTTTGGCATAACTCAAGCAGACCCTTGTCAATTTATAACACCATCTTTAACCAAGTACTCGTACCTTTAAGAAGATTTGATGTAGGGACAAAATTCATATTTTTCTAGAAATCTTTTTTAAATACTAATTATATAGTTATAGTCGCGATATTTAATGTCCAATTCGAGAATAATATTTAAAACAATAAAATATATAATATCTAATTATTTTATCATCATATAACGTAATTTATTATATCTTATAGAATCTCTCATCCAATCTATGTCAATATTTTTATGCATCTTTATAGCTACCCCATAAGGTCTAATTTTCAATACGTCTCGCAACTAAAAACCTTTGACTACTATTTATTTAAAATTTTACTTTAATTTTACTAGCATACAGTTGATTTTCGTTTAAGCCACTGTCATGTCAGGTATTTTGTTTCTGTACTATTGTAATACTAATTTGCTAAAGAGATAAATGTATCAACTTAATAATACATTTACTATACACTCTAATCTGTTAATTTTAAGTCATAAATTAGTCTAGCAAACGAGTTAACTTGTTAAACCAAAAACGTTCCTAACTATCGAACATGACATTTCAAGCTCAGAATTTAAAAAATAATAGTGGTCTATCTATGAAGTTATTAAACTAATATTGTGTGACTGTAAAAATCTTCTTGAATAATCTCAAAGCTACAGCAACACAGAAAATAACTTAAAATTAAGATACACGCAAGAACACGTAAAATAAAAACAATATAAGATTTGTGTCAAGTATTTTAGATCTTTAATTAATAACACACCATAATTGTTAGTATTACAAAACACAATTTAAAAAGAAAATCACAGTAATTACATGAAGTGCTGCCATCTAGATATAAAACACTTCCGCCCAATATTAGAGAAAAAATAGGGCTTGAAGAATTGTGTACCAATCCCAATCAATAATTAATTTCATAACAAATTAATGTTGAATTAACTAATCTATAATTTCATATACTACTAACTGACCCGCAAACTTCGTATATTCGTCAAACATTTTTTCACACCTTCCTGCCCTGGACTGCCACTTGAAAAATGGATTCCACTATTTTCAAGTTTTAGCAAGACTAACGAACAGGAATTCATTTAATATACCGATTATTATTTTCCGACTGAATCAAATATCATCGGAATCGATTCAGTAGGTACTTAAGTAGGCTTTATTGTGAGATCGTAACAGAAGCCTTAGTACGAGTTTGATTTACGTTTAAAGTATTCGAAACGAGTTCGGCACTCTGATTGGCCGGCGCCAATGAAGCAACCAATCGCAGCGCCGAACGCGAACTCGTTACGATAACTTTAAACGTTAAACAAATTCGTAATAAGGCCTCAGACGGTTAAGATCTACTACGTTATTTCCTGAATCTAGATATAGTATAACTACTATCGTTGTACTGAATTGTAGACAAATACAACCTATTTGAGTGGAATTCAGTGGTTTAAAAAATAGAGAGTTCCAGAATGTTATGATTGCTAATGTATGAGTCGAAACTAATATTTGTAGAGAAGTTTAAAAAGTGCAAAGGAATGCAATTTTTTATGGGATAAGCCGGTAGACGAGCTGACGTATCACCTGATGGCGCCGCCCATGGATACCCGAACACCAAAGGCGTTATGAGTGCGTTGGCCGGCCTTTTGGGGGGGATAACAATTTGTGGAGAGGGACGAATTGAATTGGGCCTCCGATAACGACGACGAAACACAACGCTTCGGTTGTTTGTTTCACGTCAGTTTCCTGTAAGGCCGTGGTATGAGTCCGGTCGAGCCGACCCATTCGTACCGAAGCACGATGCCAACTAACTGACTTACGACTAAGATAGTAAAATTAGTTTATACAACATTAATTATATTAAAAAATCATAATTGATTGGTAATAAGTTGCCATTCCGACAAATATTAGTATTCCAGTTACACACTAGACATCGCATCGTGACAATAACTGAAACGCAACTAAATATTTTAATCTACGTAACATCGTTTAGTACATTGGCAAGTTGGTTGCGCAGCGTGGCATTAAAATATCTAAGTAATATAGCTTTTATTTGGCTAAAACAGTAATTATAATTCTAAATGCCGAAATTAATACGAAAAATCTATGGACTAATTTTGGTTCAAACATCCAAAATCGATCTCCATTCTTCGTTTAAAGAATGTTATTAATTATGTTATTAATTTCGGCTGTAAGTATACACGTTGTAACTGTAGATGTGAAACCTTGCGAGTGTTATTTCCAACGTAATGTGGGGCGAGCCTATTAATATTATGCAAAAGGAAAATTGCACGTACCATTCAAGTTGTTGCAACCAGTGCGTCGATTTAAATAAAAAAATTCTTCTTGAATTTTCATTATATAAATTATTATTCGTAATATTCGGTTTACTCTAATAAATTATAGAAGAAAAGCTTTACTAGTAACCGGATATGGTTCCCGATGTGGTTTGAAACTAGTAGAGCGTGTCTCGATTACTTCCCGTAAGTAAAGTGTACTCTCCCGATAGTTATTATAACAAAATGTATGTGTGTTTAGAAAAGACACTTGCAAGGTGCGTGTCAGAAACGTTGTATACTAATTCATTCCCTCAAAATCGTCGTTTTCACGGATTTTCATAGAAAATGGCGATAGGATAATATGTCGAGTGGTTGACGGCGTTGATGTATCACAAGTTCTGCCAGGCGGTCGTCGCGAGTATGTTGGTGTCGAGGGACCGCGCGATCCTCTCGTGCAGGCCGTGCGACAGCCACAGCATGCGCACCTCGGAGTAACGAGTCGGACACAGTTGTAAAGGATTGCCGCGTCGCAGTCCCTGTGGAAAATATTGTTCATTGTTATTTATATTAGTCAATTAGTCTAATGACGTGTAAGAAGAAACTATATACAATGTGATGTTGACATATACATACTCCTTGAGCTTTCATTACTGGTAACATTTGTAAAAGTATATAATAAAAGTATATCGACTGCACGGTTGGCGCGGTGGTTGGGCAACTGACTGCCGCGCAACGTGTTCGATTCCCGCGCGGAACAACTCTTTGTGTGATCCACAGATCGTTGTTCTGGGTCTGGGTGTCATGTGTATGTGAACTTGTATGTTTGTAAACGCACCCACGACACAGGAGAAAATCCTAGTGTAGGGCAACGTTTTTTAAAGAAAAGAAAAAGATTAAAGATGTGTTATAGGTATTCTTATGATTGAGAGAACATTTTATTTGATGCCTATTGGGTAGGTAGAGATAGCGGAAAGCCAAATGAAACGAAACCGTTTGTATACATTTACCAATCTCTATATGCTCGTAGATTGAGGATATGTTATAGGCTAGATAAATATAGGAACACTAGCAGACACCACGAACTTAGGCTATTATTCTATATAGCTAAAGCTAAAGCTTTAGAATTGCCTATTAGCTATATAATTAGCTTTAGCTAAAGCTTTAGCTTTAGAATTGTTCTTGCCTTAAATAAGAACCTTTTCCTAGCAATAACAAACACAACAAAGAATTAACGAAATCAGTTCAGCTGATTCCCGCTTAGCAACACATTCAGCGATTAATTGTTATATGTATATAATTATAGAAGATGTGAACGGACCTGGTCAGTCTCCCCGTAGGAGTCCAGATAGGGCGCCGGCATCTTGGCCCCGCGGGCGGGCGAGGCCAGCAGTAGCAGCTCGCAGTCGCGCACGCGCAGGAACAGGCCGGCGCCGCCGCCGCAGCGCGCGCAGTGCGCCACCACCGCGCCCACACGCTGCAACTCGCCGATACGATTCCACTGCAAGGGACACCATTCCTTCACAACTCGTTTCATCGTTTTATACAAGGTGTTGTTTTAAAGTCACGTCAATTTCTAGGAAGTAACTCGGCAATCGATTCTGAGTCCGAATCAATAAAAAAAATTGTAGGTAAATATTTTTAAATATTCTCTAAATTACGAAAATCCGTAAGTGCAAACTACACGCCGCCGTCTTGTAACTGGTTCTATTACGCGGCTTAACACACACAAACTCAAACACGTAATTGATATTATTCCTAATTCCATAAAACTCCAATAAGAAACATTGCTGTCGCTTATTCTGAAACACTGTCGAACTTAAACGATTTATTATAGCCGTATTTATAACCATTGACCCGAAACTTTCTTTTACATTAAACATTTATGACTTCTGTGACATGCCCCCGAGAAATGCCACGGTTTCAAAACTACACCTTGTATATGTAATGAGGTCGTGATAGCCCGGAGGTTTAAGACGCTCGCTTCTCATGCATGAGGGTGCGGGTCCGAAACCTACCAACGGCAAGTACCAATGGGACTTTTTCATAGTTATATGTACTAGTATGTCTCACGACAATAGTTGTCACCACCCCTACCCCTTCGTAGGTCTAGTCTAGAGGTCTACACATCTAAACATTTGACAGAAGCAATAGTGCTGAACTAGTTGAATCTGCGGTTTCCAACCCGTGTATATGGTACGCCTCGTCGTTGATGTTGATTTCAAATTACAAACGTAAAAAATAAAAGACTATCCGTATCCTCTCCTCTTTTCACGTCCATTTAAAGACGAACGACGTTTCTTTCATTGAGTTCTAAAGAGATTAATTATTATATAAATACATTCCAAGTATAATGTGTAACCCATAAAAAGCAAGAGTCCACAAACCTTCGGTACATCATCCTGGCAGCAGTAGCTCTGTGAGCACAGTATCTGTCCACAGACGAGGCACATAGTCGGCTTCTTGCTGTCTTCGCGGTCGGAGTTAGGGCACGAGAACTCTGATACTAAGTTCATTAGCTCAGAGAAGTCTTCGGGCAACGAAATCAAACTGAAAATTGAACGTATCTCGTTGAAATAAAGTCTGCCCATAGTAAGTTGTACGCATCGTTCTAATGTAATGTAAAAGTATTGGACTAGCACACAGACAAAACAGACATTGAAGAATACTACTTACTTAGGAGGCTCCTTAGGTTCAACGACGACACAAGCAGGAATCTCTCCACTAAACCATTCCGTGGACATTGCAATCCAATTTGAGATCTTCTTCTTGGCTGTAGGCGTATCCACCAGCTCTTTGTAGGTACTCGGCATGTCCAGGTACCCACACATAACCTCCCAAGTATCTCCTCCTACTACAGTCAACTCTTCAGGCGCGCTGATGTCACTCAAGAAGTGATAGAATAAACAACAGCAGCGCAAGAACGTATGACACTGTTCTTTGATCAAATGCCAGACTTCTGTAGGGTTCAAATTGTCTTCTAGAACTCCATTCCGTAACTCCTTCATGAAAGGAAGAAGATTCTCTAAGTCTGCGTCTTTGAAGTCCTCCTGGCCTTCCATGGGCTGGCTCTTGCAAGTAGAGACGTCGGTAACGAGTAGTGCCCTGGCTAGCGTGGCTCTGAAGCATTGTCGTGTGAACGCCTTGGCGAGGTTGGTCGGTCTGGCTGGTCCACCGACTTTGCAGAAGAGACACGGTGCGGATAGAACTAGGGAGACTAGAGTACCGAACGGTTCGTGCGTAAGGGGAGAACTGCGTTCTAGAGTGTTTAGGGAGCTGAGTGCGTGGTGGGAGAGGTGTTTGGGTGGCTCCCAGACTGCAGGTAAAGCGGCTGACATTCTGATCAGCGCCTGTAAAGTTTCCCTGTATCTGGCTGGTAGGTCGCCCAGTAACGGCCTGTTCTCGGCTTGTAAAACCGCATTAGTGCTCATTATAGTGTACGATGTCGACCTGTAGAGGGCAGCACTTGCAGCCAGGCCACCATAGTCTGAGACTGGAATTTTCTGTGAAGAAATTGACAAGCTTATTAGCATTTTTTCTATTTACTGATAATAACTATAACTTTAACAACTTAGAAATACTCACTTCAACAAAATTTAGAATCAACCCTCTACACTTATCTCTGTAGGGATGAATTTCAACTAAAAAGTGGTCTAAGAACTCCTCTTTTAGAAGATTTTCAGAGTGAGTAGAGATATATATCTCTGTGTTATCGGCTAGCTCGTCCTCCGCCATGTCAGCGGACATAGGTCCGACGCTCCTTGCTCGGGCGCGGCAGAGCCTGTCATCGCAGTATTCAGTACAAATATGAACAATTCTGGAGGTGATTTGATGTTTCAGTTTGAGGATCAAGTTAACTGATTCGATATACAACTCTTCACTCAGTGGTGGTACGGGTTTTGACGGCACGGGCGGGGCAGGGAGTATAGGTAGTGCAGCATTGCAGAGGCGTTCGCATAAAGGACATAAGTATTCGTTCCTTTCCACGTCAAACGCCGCTGGTTGCCGGCCGCGATATGGTCTGAGAAAAAGAGTAACATTGTTAAACTTTTTACATTGTTGAAAATACAAGGTTTAAATATTTGCTGTCCCTACAAATTCTTAAAATCGGGTTTCAGGAAAGCGAAACCTTGAATAACATGTCACTAAAGATTTACTATAATGAAATTCTTAGCGCTGCACGGAGGGGCAATTCTACTATTTAGGCGGCCAAAAATACAATTCTTAAAATTTGTCTCAGGTAAAAAAAAACGACTACCTGAGACTGGTAAAAACCCGTAGAACAATGGGCGACCCAACCCGCGGTCCCACTCGGAGCGCGCGTCTAGGTGTGCCAGTCTAAACTTGATCGTCGCTCTAAGTGTACGTATTGCTTTTAGACATTTCTTGCAAAACTACTATTTTAAAAGTGAATATTGTTATTTTGGAGTGTGTTGTGAAAAAAATTGTGATGGATTCAAGTATAACGGGTAAGAGTACATACATATTAATACGTTTTAAGCCAATGTTAAAAAAAATATTGAGTACAGACAGATTACAAAAACATGCTCGTGTTTGTTGTATTAAATTCTTATTTTTTTGTAGTTCAAACGTTTTTGTTATACTTCAGGGTTCGTCCCATCAGTTTTGTCAGTTGTAATATAAAAAAGGGTATTTAAACTTATTAAAAACGATTAAATTGGCCGTGATCTCCCGTGAAAACAAAGGTTTCAAGTTCAATGAAAGATAGAGTAGAAATTCATCGAATTTGCCATTTATTATATTTTTTGTTTAAACGAGTTCTCCTTTTGTTGCAGAAGGTGGGGGTACTTCAGGGATGCGAGTAGTAACTCGTAGATACCTTTTTAACAAAATGCAGGAACAAAACTTGCAAAATTTTGACGAAAAATTGAATTATCTCGAGAGATTTATTTTATCACAAGATGAGTATTGTGAGGAAGAAAAGAAGGAAGTAAAGCATAAATTATCCTATTTGAAGTCTCAATTTAAGAAAAAATGGATGGAAGCTCATAAAAAATCACAGCTTTTCCTTCAAACAAAAAATGCATGATTTGGACGCGAGTGACAGCAACATTTTCGAAAGCTGCTTTGTTCCGTTACAATTAGTATGCGGCTCAAACAAAAAAGTGGTTTGGCAAAATCCAACTCCTTCTTCGCCACGATTCTGTCGACCCATAAGGATCCAATTTGTAAAGGAAACAGTGGATATTACTAAATCTGAAATCGCAAAAGTCGAAGAGGCTATAAATTGTTTAAAATACAGTGAATTCGTACTCAGCGAAATTTTCTTAAGAACAAAACACATTATGACTCTAACTATGGTTGATGCAAAAGTGTGTAACGCCGCAACTTCTACGACTTCAACTATGAGATGCTACATCTGTGGTGCTACATCAAAAGAATTCAATGACCTCAACATAAAGAAAACTATCGATATCGACGCAATACAGTTTGGCCTATCTGTGTTGCACGCTAGGATTCGATTTTTCGAAGGCATACTTCATCTGGCATACAAAATTCCTGTACAAAAATGGCATTAAGGTCCGAAAATGACAAACGCATTGTTAAAAACAAAAAGGCAGAAATACAAACAAAATTTAGAGAGCAAATGGGCCTACTAGTTGACGTGCCGAAAGCTGGTTTTGGCAATACCAACGATGGCAATACTAGTAGAAGATTTTTTGCGACTCCAGAAATTGCTGCTGAAATCACCGGTGTCGATTTAAATCTAATAAAATGCCTGAAAGTGATTTTGGAAGTCATATCTAGCTCTTATAAAGTTTATTTAAAAAAGTTTGCTCTATATGGGTATGAGACTGCGAAGACGTACATTGATTTATATCCCTGGCATCCGATGACTCCCATAATGCATAAAATACTAATACACGGCGCAACTGTCATGGAAAATGCACTTTTGCCTATTGGTTTATTTTTTTTATTTATTTACACTTTTTGTAGATATACAACGGCGGACTTAATGCCTAGTGGCATTTTCTAACAGTCAACCTTAGGGTGGTGCAGAGAGATACAATAGTAGGTGTAAACGTTTAACACTTATTAGAGTGACACAATAATTAACATTAACATTAACATCATATATAATTATACATATCACACAATATATACTAATTAAATATAATGAAGAAGTATTAAAATATATACGTAATGCAAAACGAACAGTAGACAAATAAGTATGGGACATATATATACCTAAATATACGAAGGAAAATACATAACATAACATATATACATACATAATTATACACATACATATATGTAAATACGTACAAGACCTAAGTGTGTGTTGAGTCTGCTAGCCTCTTCTGTAGATACTCACGAAACTTAAATTTGAAGGACAGACGACTGGTCGCCGTCCTGATATCCGTCGGCATCGCATTCCACAGCAAGATGGATTGGACGAAAAAAGAAGAGTGAAGGAAGTCAGTTCGATGTGTGGGACATTGTAACAGAAGATTATTAGAAGAACGGAGGTATTTGCTATGGTTAGCGCTCACATACTGGAAATATGAGGAAAGATAAGTAGGAGAATTGGGAGAATTAAGAAGGGAGAATAAAGTGGTTAGCGCCCGTTGTTCCCTGCGCTGACGTATGGGCAACCACTTTAGTTGCAATCGAAAGTTTACTATCAGAAGAAGCAGCAGAGGCGCGTAATAAGCATATTCGACTGTACCGTCAAGACTACGCTAGAAAATTTTCTAGAGAGCAATGCAATTTAGATGTCATAAACAGATTATTGCTCAGCTCAGATCCCTTAATATCTAGCATAAGACCAAAACCTAAAAAAAGGTCTATGCCACATAGTGAAGAAGCAATACAAATGCTTATGCCTGCTGAGGCCCACACGGTTGAAGAGAATTCCTCTGATGAGGAAACGGCCGCAGAAGAGTCTGACAGTGAAATATATTAAAATGCGAATGAATTAAAAATCTGGTGAAGACACGTGAGACTCCTCATTGCAAAATAAAAAGCTGTGTACTTTTTTTTTCAATAAACCGTAATTTTCTCATTAACAATTGTGTTTTACTTGAATATATGTTCAACAAAAGCTTTTGTAATTAAAATAAAATAATAATAAACTGTTTAGAATACATAAACCAAAGAAAATAATTTTGGCCGCCTAATTTGAATAAATGCCCCACCGTGCGCTGGAGACATGCGATCTCAAAGAACCATTTATTTTAATTCCTCATTAAATGTATGCTGCTACGTAATAACTTATCATTTAATTTTTATTTTGTGATACATATTTATTTTTTACGTATATTTTGACTCTGTTTTAACCCAACTTAACAAAACCATTAGTTATTTACTTATTTAGATTTAAAAGACACCACGACATCGACGAGACGCATTCGGCGCTCTGATTGGGCGGCTGCAGTGAATCAATGAATCAAAGTGCCGAACGCGTTCGAAACTTTATTCTTAACAAAAACATACAATGTCACTTACTTGAGAACAACAATAAGAAATTAAATTTACATACAGTTCATTATCATCAATCAGGTATAGACTACATAATTATAAACAAACAAATTCGCTCATCCAATGTTATAGCCCTATAAGTGATTGATTTGGAACTATATATATATTGGCCAAGTTGGGTTGTGAATGTACTAAAAGATAGTATAGTTTTCGTACACCAATATGACGGTATTACAAATTACGGTATTCTATTGTAAAGTTGGACAACTTTAAAGTCAAAAGTTAGGCTTTTTTGCCATAGCTGGTTCTAATTTTCGGTAAGTCAAGTTACGAATGCGACAGCAGTGGGCGGGTACCTCCTGTGCTCCTTGTCCTGCACGTTGTCGATGTAGTTGGTGAAGCAGTCGGCGTGCAGCAGGTGTCCGCAGCTGGAGACGTGCGTCTGCAGGCCGAGGCCGGGCGGCAGCCAGGCGTGGCGCCACGACTGCGGCACGGCGCCGCGCGGCCCGCGCGCCATGCGGTTCAGGACCGTCGAGTCCTGCACGTACGCCACCAGCACCACTGGCGGGCCTTTCAGCTGGACGCGCGCCTACGAATTAATGGAATTATTCATTCAACTGTCAAACACCGCGAGGACACCGGTGACCGCAACCTGTTCTTTAATTGTGTCTATAATGATGGTACTCAACGAGTTAATAACAAACGCCACTCAATTTTAAATCTTGCTTTATACTTCTATCACTACAAATCTATATGAATAAAAATAAAACCCGTTTCCCGTTGTCACGCCATAACTTGAGAACGGCTAGACCGATTTGGCTAATTTTTTGTTGTGTTTGTTATCGTCAGGAGGTTCATATGACAGAAAAACGTCCAGAAAATTCTACGAGAATGGGAGAAATGTGATTGCGCGTAGGAAGTCGCAAGCAGAAGCTATTTCTTTATAAAATGACGTGTAAAGGAAATGACATGATATTGAAGCACAACCTAAAATTAAGTAACTTTTCAGTATTCGTTAGTAATTAATCCACATTTCTTATAATCACGCTTATTATTTTAGTATAAGTAGACAAAGGTAAACACAATGTGAATGTTATGAATCCCATGTAACAGGTGTAAGCCAATTGTCATAAAAAATGTATGACTGAAAATTTCGCACTATTCTTGAAAAAAAAAAAAAACAGCCCTGGGTATCAGCATAGTACATAACCAGAGAAATAGCTTAGGAATCCTTCTCAAACAACATTCATTATGAATGATCTGTATTCTGTATATATTACAGTTACCTCTTCCTGGCACATAATACAGGTACGCGTAGGCTCGGGTACGCCGCCCCCCCAGACGCCCAGCGCCGCGCCTCGGTATAACGGACGCAACTCTTGCTCCTCCGCCGTCACCTGGAACAACGTCACATATTGTTATTACTAATTAATCATCAATTATACATCAATACAGTCCACAGTTGGACTAAGATCACTATAAAAGAGAGGTTTGTAAATACCTACGCTTGGCAGGCGAATTCAATTTGAAATCGATGCACACACACTGCATAAAAAACGAAATAAAAACTTACTCTGAAGTTCTAAACTGAAAATGAACTGAATTAAGATACAATAAAAAAAAGAAATAAAAATTAAATGCATATAAAAAAAACATCCAAAAAGAGTAGTTTGACCCCGACGTGATTTGAACACGCAACCTTCTGATCTGGAGTCAGACGCGCTACCGTTGCGCCACGGAGTCGTTGAATGCGATGCCGAAATAGGCAAATGTGTCAAGCAATGGGCAAAACCTCTTCACAAATTATATGCTTGACTGCAAAATACTAGCACAACTCTCGTTACATTTAAAAATTACTTGAATATTACAAAATGTATAATAAGTAAAAATAGCATTAACCTTCTTAAACTTAAATTCAATACTTATTTGTTACTGATAGAACTGTGTTTTATTTACATCATTGAAAAGTCGAAATTATTATTTTCGACTAACCTAATAAATTATAGTATAAATAAATTACCTCAGTCGTAGTCTCTTCGAAAAGTGTCGCGTTCTTGGATATGAAGTTGTTCATTTGTGTTTGCATCTGTGCCATTAGCTTAGCACGTCGCTCCGCAGCTAACTTCGCGCGACGTGACTTTTCAGCTTCTGAAATTGGAACAAAAGGGTTTCTTTATACCCAGACTAATGTGTGATAGTAAGTTTTATGTTTGTTAGCCCTTTACTCTTGATCTGCAATGTTGCTCATCAGTGGCGTAGCGTGCCTTGGGGGGGGGGGGGG